CAGGTGACACACAGACACACACACACAGACACGCTACTGTCACTGTAACACCGGCGTCTTTGTGTCTACAGGTGACACACAGACACACACACACAGACACGCTACTGTCACTGTAACACCGGCGTCTTTGTGTCTACAGGTGACACACACAGTGACACACACAGTGACACACACACAGTGACACACACACAGTGACACACACAGTGACACACACACAGTGACACACACACACAGACACGCTACTGTCACTGTAACACCGGCGTCTTTGTGTCTACAGGTGACACACACACACAGACACACACACACACACACAGACACACACACACACAGACACACACACAGACACACACACACACAGACACACACACACACAGACACGCTACTGTCACTGTAACACCGGTGTCTTTGTGTCTACAGGTGACACACACACAGACACACACACACACACACAGACACACACACAGACACACACACACAGACACACACACACAGTGACACACACACACAGTGACACACACACACAGACATGCTACTGTCACTGTAACACCGGCGTCTTTGTGTCTACAGGTGACACACACAGTGACACAGTGACACACAGTGACACATACACACACACACAGACACGCTACTGTCACTGTAACACCGGCGTCTTTGTGTCTACAGGTGACACACACACACAGACACACACAGTGACACACACACACACACAGTGACACACACAGACACACACACAGACACACACACAGACACGCTACTGTCACTGTAACACCGGTGTCTTTGTGTCTACAGGTGACACACACAGTGACACACACACAGACACACACACAGACACACACACAGACACGCTACTGTCACTGTAACACCGGTGTCTTTGTGTCTACAGGTGACACACACACACAGTGACACACACACAGTGACACACACACAGGTGACACACACAGTGACACACACAGTGACACACACACAGACACACACACAGACACACACACAGACACACACACACACAGACACACAGACACACACACAGACACACACACACAGTGACACACACACAGTGACACACACACACATAGACACACAGTGACACACACACAGACACACACACAGACACACACACACAGTGACACACACAGTGACACACACACACATAGACACACAGTGACACACACACACAGACACACACACACACGCTACTGTCACTGTAACACCGGCGTCTTTGTGTCTACAGGTGACACACACACACAGACACACAGTGACACACAGTGACACACACACACAGTGACACACACACACAGTGACACACAGACACAGACACACACACACAGACACACACACACAGTGACACACACACAGTGACACACACACAGTGACACACAGTGACACACACACACAGTGACACACACACACAGTGACACACACACACAGACACACACACACACAGTGACACACACACAGTGACACACACACAGACACACAGTGACACACACACACAGACACACACACACAGACACACACACACAGTGACACACACACAGTGACACACACACACACACACGCTACTGTCACTGTAACACTGGCGTGTTTGTGTCTACAGGTGACACACAGTGACACACACAGTGACACACACAGTGACACACAGTGACACATACACACACACAGAGACACACACACACAGAGTCACACACACACACAGACACACACACACAGAGACACACACACACAGACACACACACACACAGACACGCTACTGTCACTGTAACACTGGCGTGTTCGTCTCTACAGGTGACACACACACAGTGACAGACACACACACACACATACAACACACACACACAAACACACACACACATACAACACACACACAAACACACACACATACAACACACACACACAGACATGCTACTGTCACTGTAACACTGGGGTCTTTGTGTCTACAGGTGACACACACACACACACAGACACACAGACACACACAGTGACACACACACAGACACACACACACAGACACACACACACAGTGACACGCTACTGTCACTAACACTGGGGTCTTTGTGTCTACAGGTGACACACACACAGACACACACACACAGACACACACACACACATAGACACACACACATACACACAGACACACACACACTGACACACACATACACACACACACACACAGACACACACACACACATAGACACACACACACACATACACACACACACATACACACACACAGACACACACACACATAGACACACACACACATAGACACGCTACTGTCACTGTAACACTGGGGTGTTTGTCTCTACAGGTGACACACACACAGTGACACAGACACACACAGATACACACACACACAGACACACAGACACACACACAGACACACAGAGACACACACACAACCATCCACGTTGTTGCATGGTTGTTGTTGTGTGATTATCGTTGTTGTGGTAGTATAGTTGTTGTAGTTGTAGCAGTAGTATAGTTGTTGTGGTTGTTGTGATAGTATAGCTGTTGTAGTTGTTGTGGTTGTTGTGGTAGTATAGCTGTTGTGGTTGTAGTTGTTGTGGTCGTATGGTTGTTACATACATACACACGCACACACAGACACACACACATAGACACACAGACACACACACATAGACACACACACACATAGACAACAACAACCGCTATTCGCCGCTAAGTGGCGGTGACGTGTGTCGCTCCGCACTAAGCTTCAGGTCTTCTCGGCCACGGTCATTCCCTCCCTTCTCTACGCTTGCGAAACGTGGACCCCTCCTAATGGAACATCTTCGCCGGTTATAAACATTTAGGCTGGCCTGCCTATGATCCATCCTGGGTTTAACCTGCAGGCTGGATTGTGTGAGGAGCTCACAAATCCTTGAAAGCTCTGGGCAAGGTCCCATCAGTGAGCTCCTCCGGCGGGCAAGGCTGCGTTGGCTGGGTCATGTAGCCCGCATGCCCAGCCACCGCATGCCGAAACAGCTTTTGTTCGGCCGGATCGAGGGGGCTAAACGGGCGCGGCACGGGCTAGAGAAGAGATGGAGTGACGTGGTACAGGAGGACGTGGAGCTGAGTGGACTTGCCGATGACTGGTACCAGCGGTGTCAAGATCGGCCTCTGTGGAGGAGGCTCGTGAAGGATGCTACTGGGCAGTTGGAGGCAGTCGCCCTCCAACAACAACGGAGGGCGGAGGAGCGACGCTCAGAACAACGAGCGGAGCGCCGGGTGGCTAAAGCACAACAGGTTGGCACAGTAGGGGGCACAGGTGGTGCATCAGCCAGTCATCTCAGTCAGTCGACCCGTGGCACCTGGGTCTGCCCCGTGACCTCCTGCCAGCGGGCGTTCGACACTTCACGTGGCCTCAGGGTGCACATAGCCTGGCACAAGCGTCATGGTGACGTCACCGCCACTTAGTGGCGAATGGCGGTTGTTGTTGTTGTGTGTCTCTGTGTGTGTCTATGTGTGTGTGTGTGTGTATGTGTGTGTGTGTATGTGTGTGTCTATGTGTGTGTGTGTGTGTCTATGTGTGTCTATGTGTGTCTATGTGTGTGTGTCTGTGTGTGTCTGTGTGTGTGTGCGTCTGTGTGTGTCTATGTGTGTGTGTGTGTCTGTGTGTCTGTGTGTGTGTGTCTGTGTGTGTGTGTGTCTGTGTCTATGTCTGTGTGTGTCTGTGTGTGTGTGTGTCTGTGTGTGTGTCTGTGTGTGTCTGTGTGTGTGTCTGTGTGTGTGTGTGTCTGTGTGTGTGTGTGTGTATGTGTGTGTGTGTGTCTATGTTTGTGTGTGTCTATGTCTATGTGTGTGTGTGTCTGTGTGTGTGTCTATGTCTGTGTCTGTGTGTGTCTGTGTGTGTGTGTGTCTCTGTGTGTGTCTGTGTGTGTGTCTGTGTCTATGTCTATGTGTGTGTGTGTCTATGTCTATGTGTGTGTGTCTATGTCTATGTCTGTGTCTGTGTGTGTCTGTGTGTGTGTGTGTCTGTGTGTGTGTGTGTCTGTGTGTGTCTGTGTGTGTCTGTGTGTGTGTGTGTCTGTGTGTGTCTGTGTGTGTGTGTGTCTGTGTGTGTGTGTCTGTGTGTGTGTGTGTCTATGTCTATGTGTGTGTGTCTATGTCTGTGTGTGTGTGTGCCTGTGTGTCTGTGTTTGTGTCTGTGTGTGTGTCTGTGTGTGTGTGTCTATGTCTATGTGTGTGTGTCTATGTCTATGTGTGTGTGTGCCTGTGTGTCTGTGTGTGTGTCTGTGTGTGTCTGTGTGTGTCTATGTGTCTGTGTCTATGTGTGTGTGTGTGTCTATGTCTATGTGTCTGTGTCTGTGTGTGTGTCTGTGTGTGTGTGTCTGTGTGTGTGTGTCTATGTCTATGTATGTGTGTCTATGTCTATGTGTGTGTGTCTATGTCTCTGTGTGTGTCTGTGTGTGTGTCTATGTCTATGTGTGTGTCTATGTGTGTGTGTGTGTCTGTGTGTCTGTGTGTGTGTGTGTCTGTGTGTGTGTCTGTGTGTGTGTCTGTGTCTATGTCTATGTGTGTATGTCTGTGTGTCTGTGTGTCTGTGTGTGTGTCTGTGTCTATGTCTATGTGTGTGTGTGTGTGTATGTCTATGTGTCTGTGTGTGTATGTCTATGTGTCTGTGTGTGTGTGAATGTGTCTATGTGTCTGTGTCTGTGTGTGTGTGTCTCTGTGTGTGTGTGTCTGTGTGTGTGTGTGTCTGTGTGTGTGTCTATGTCTGTGTGTGTGTGTCTGTGTGTGTCTGTGTGTGTGTGTCTGTGTCTGTGTGTGTGTGTGTGTCTATGTGTGTGTCTGTGTGTGTGTCTGTGTGTGTCTATGTCTTTTTTTTTGTCTATGTGTCTGTGTCTATGTCCGTGAGTCTGTGTGTGTCTATGTCTATGTGTGTCTGTGTGTCTATGTGTGTGTGTCTGTGTGTCTATGTGTGTGTGTGTGTGTCTATGTGTGTGTGTGTGTCTATGTGTGTGTGTCTATGTCTCTGTGTGTGTCTGTGTGTGTGTCTCCAGACACGTGCTACGTGCTGTCGTTTGCTGTCATCATGCTCAACACGAGTCTGCACAACCCCAATGTGCGTGACAAACCGGGCGTGGAGAGATTCATCTCCATGAACCGTGGCATCAACGATGGCGGAGACCTCCCGGACGAGCTGCTGCGGGTGGGGAGGGTGGAGAGCTCTCACTCACTCACTCACCTTGTCACTCACCACTCACCTTGTCACTCACCTTGTCACTCACCACTCACCTTCTCACTCACCTTCTCACTCACCCACTCACTCACTCACTCACCCACTCACTCACCACTCACCCACTCACTCACCACTCACTCACTCACTCACCTTGTCACTCACCTTCTCACTCACCCACTCACTCACTCACTCACCCACTCACTCACCCACTCACTCACCACTCACTCACTCACCACTCACCTTCTCACTCACCTTCTCACTCACCACTCACTCACCTTGTCACTCACTCACTCACTCACCCACCACTCACCCACTCACCCACTCACTCACCCACTCACCTTGTCACTCACCCACTCACTCACTCACTCACCCACCACTCACCTTGTCACTCACCCACTCACTCACCTACTCACTCACCTTCTCACTCACCCACTCACCCACTCACTCACCCACTCACTCACCCACTCACTCACTCACTCACCCACTCACCTTGTCACTCACCCACCACTCACCACTCACCCACCACTCACCCACTCACTCACCCACTCACCCACTCACTCACCCACTCACTCACTCACTCACCCACTCACTCACCACTCACCCACCACTCACCTTCTCACTCACCTTGTCACTCACCCACTCACTCACTCACCCACCACTCACCCACTCACTCACCCACTCACTCACCCACTCACCCACTCACTCACCTTCTCACTCACTCACTCACTCACCTTCTCACTCACCTTCTCACTCACCTTGTCACTCACCCACTCACTCACTCACCTTGTCACTCACCTTGTCACTCACCCACTCACTCACTCACTCACCCACTCACCCACCCACCACTCACCTTGTCACTCACTCACCCACTCACCCACTCACTCACTCACTCATTAAGTCACCCACTCACCCACTCACTCACCCACTCACTCACCCACTCACCCACTCACTCACCACTCACCTTCTCACTCACCACTCACCTTGTCACTCACCCACTCACTCACTCACTCACCTTCTCACTCACCTTGTCACTCACTCACCTTGTCACTCACCCACTCACTCACCCACCACTCACCCACCACTCACCACTCACCCACTCACCTTGTCACTCACCCACTCACTCACTCACTCACCCACCACTCACCTTGACACTCACCCACTCACTCACCTACTCACTCACCTACTCTCTCACTCACCCACTCACCCACTCACTCACCCACTCACTCACCCACTCACTCACTCACTCACCCACTCACCTTGTCACTCACCCACCACTCACCACTCACCCACCACTCACCCACTCACTCACCCACTCACCCACTCACTCACCCACTCACTCACTCACCCACTCACTCACCACTCACCCACCACTCACCTTCTCACTCACCTTGTCACTCACCCACTCACTCACTCACCCACCACTCACCCACTCACTCACCCACTCACTCACCCACTCACCTTCTCACTCACCTTCTCACTCACTCACTCACTCACCTTCTCACTCACCTTCTCACTCACCTTGTCACTCACCCACTCACTCACTCACCTTGTCACTCACCTTGTCACTCACCCACTCACTCACTCACTCACCCACTCACCCACCCACCACTCACCTTGTCACTCACTCACCCACTCACCCACTCACTCACTCACTCATTCAGTCACCCACTCACCCACTCACTCACCCACTCACTCACCCACTCACCCACTCACTCACCACTCACCTTCTCACTCACCACTCACCTTGTCACTCACCCACTCACTCACTCACTCACCTTCTCACTCACCTTGTCACTCACTCACCTTGTCACTCACCCACTCACTCACCCACCACTCACCCACCACTCACCACTCACCCACTCACCTTGTCACTCACCCACTCACTCACTCACTCACCCACCACTCACCTTGTCACTCACCCACTCACTCACCTACTCACTCACCTTCTCACTCACCCACTCACCCACTCACTCACCCACTCACTCACCCACTCACTCACTCACTCACCCACTCACCTTGTCACTCACCCACCACTCACCACTCACCCACCACTCACCCACTCACTCACCCACTCACCCACTCACTCACCCACTCACTCACTCACTCACCCACTCACTCACCACTCACCCACCACTCACCGTCTCACTCACCTTGTCACTCACCCACTCACTCACTCACCCACCACTCACCCACTCACTCACCCACTCACTCACCCACTCACCTTCTCACTCACCTTCTCACTCACTCACTCACTCACCTTCTCACTCACCTTCTCACTCACCTTGTCACTCACCCACTCACTCACTCACCTTGTCACTCACCTTGTCACTCACCCACTCACTCACTCACTCACCCACTCACCCACCCACCACTCACCTTGTCACTCACTCACCCACTCACCCACTCACTCACTCACTCATTCAGTCACCCACTCACCCACTCACTCACCCACTCACTCACCCACTCACCCACTCACTCACCACTCACCTTCTCACTCACCACTCACCTTGTCACTCACCCACTCACTCACTCACTCACCTTCTCACTCACCTTGTCACTCACTCACCTTGTCACTCACCCACTCACTCACCCACCACTCACCCACCACTCACCACTCACCCACTCACCTTGTCACTCACCCACTCACTCACTCACTCACCCACCACTCACCTTGTCACTCACCCACTCACTCACCTACTCACTCACCTTCTCACTCACCCACTCACCCACTCACTCACCCACTCACTCACCCACTCACTCACTCACTCACCCACTCACCTTGTCACTCACCCACCACTCACCACTCACCCACCACTCACCCACTCACTCACCCACTCACCCACTCACTCACCCACTCACTCACTCACTCACCCACTCACTCACCACTCACCCACCACTCACCTTCTCACTCACCTTGTCACTCACCCACTCACTCACTCACCCACCACTCACCCACTCACTCACCCACTCACTCACCCACTCACCTTCTCACTCACCTTCTCACTCACTCACTCACTCACCTTCTCACTCACCTTCTCACTCACCTTGTCACTCACCCACTCACTCACTCACCTTGTCACTCACCTTGTCACTCACCCACTCACTCACTCACTCACCCACTCACCCACCCACCACTCACCTTGTCACTCACTCACCCACTCACCCACTCACTCACTCATTCAGTCACCCACTCACCCACTCACTCACCCACTCACTCACCCACTCACCCACTCACTCACCACTCACCTTCTCACTCACCACTCACCTTGTCACTCACCCACTCACTCACTCACTCACCTTCTCACTCACCTTGTCACTCACTCACCTTGTCACTCACCCACTCACTCACTCACCACTCACCTTGTCACTCACCTTGTCACTCACTCACCTTGTCACTCACCCACTCACTCACTCACCCACTCACCTTGTCACTCACCTTGTCACTCACCCACTCACTCACCTTGTCACTCACCTTGTCACTCACCTTCTCACTCACCTTCTCACTCACTCACCCACTCACTCACCCACTCACTCACCCACTCACTCACCCACACACTCACTCACCCACTCACCCACCCACTCACCCACTCACTCACCCACTCACTCACTCACCCACCCACTCACCCACTCACTCACCCACTCACTCACTCACTCACCTTCTCACTCACCCACCCACTCACCCACTCACTCACCTTCTCACTCACCTTCTCACTCACCTTCTCACTCACCTTGTCACTCACCTTCTCACTCACCCACTCACTCACCCACTCACTCACCCACTCACCCACTCACTCACCTTCTCACTCACCTTCTCACTCACCTTCTCACTCACCCACTCACTCACCCACTCACTCACCCACTCACCCACTCACTCACCCACTCACTCACCCACTCACTCACCCACTCACCCACTCACTCACCCACTCACTCACCCACTCACCCACTCACTCACCCACTCACTCACCCACTCACCCACTCACTCACCCACCACTCACCCACTCACTCACCCACTCACCCACTCACTCACCCACCACTCACCCACTCACTCACCCACTCACCCACTCACTCACTCACTCACCCACTCACTCACCCACTCACTCACCCACTCACTCACCCACTCACCCACTCACTCACCCACTCACTCACTCACTCACCCACTCACTCGCCTTCTCACTCACCTTCTCACTCACCTTCTCACTCACTCACCTTCTCACTCACCTTCTCACTCACCTTCTCACTCACCCACTCACCCACTCACTCACTCACTCACCCACTCACTCACCTTCTCACTCACCTTCTCACTCACCTTCTCACTCACCCACTCACTCACTCACACACTCACTCACCCACCACTCACCTTGTCACTCACCCACTCACCCACTCACCACTCGCCTTCTCACTCACCACTCACCTTGTCACTCACCCACCCACTCACCCACCACTCACCTTGTCACTCACCCACTCACTCACCCACCACTGACCTTCTCACTCACCTTCTCACTCACCCACTCACTCACCCACTCACCACTCACCCACTCACTCACCACTCACCCACTCACTCACCTTCTCACTCACCTTCTCACTCACCACTCACCTTCTCACTCACCTTGTCACTCACCTTCTCACTCACCACTTACCTTCTCACCTTCTCACTCACCTTCTCACTCACCTTCTCACCACTCACCTTCTCACCACTCACCTTCTCACTCACCTTCTCACTCACCACTCACCTCACCTTCTCACTCACCTTCTCACTCACCCACTCACCTTCTCACTCACCACTCACCTTGTCACTCACCTTCTCACCTTCTCACTCACCACTCACCTTCTCACTCACCACTCACCTTCTCACTCACCTTGTCACTCACCTTCTCACCTTCTCACTCACCACTCACCTTCTCACTCACCTTCTCACTCACCCACTCATTCGCTCACACACTCACACACTCACCACTCACCTTGTCACTCACCCACTCACTCACTCACCCACCCACTCACCCACCACTCACCTTCTCACTCACCTTGTCACTCACCCTCTCACTCACCCACCACTCACCCACACACTCACTCACTCACCCACTCACCTTCTCACCACTCACCTTCTCACCACTCACCTCACTCACCTTCCCACTCACCCACTCACTCACCCACTCACTCACACACTCACTCACACACTCACTCACACACTCACTCTCTCACCCACCACTCACCTTCTCACTCACCTTCTCACTCACCCTCTCACTCATCTTCTCACTCACCTTCTCACTCACTCGCTCACTCACTCACTCACCTTCTCACTCACTCACTCACCTTCTCACTCACCCATTCACTCACCTTCTCACTCACCTTCTCACTCACCTTCTCACTCACACACTCACTCACTCACCACTCACCTTCTCACTCACCCACTCACTCACCCACTCACTCACCCACTCACCCACACACTCACTCACCTTCTCACTCACCTTCTCACTCACCCACTCACTCACCCACTCACCCACTCACTCACCTTCTCACTCACCTTCTCACTCACCTTCTCACTCACCCACTCACTCACCCACTCACTCACCCACTCACCCACTCACTCACCCACTCACTCACCCACTCACTCACCCACTCACCCACTCACTCACCCACTCACTCACCCACTCACCCACTCACTCACCCACTCACTCACCCACTCACCCACTCACTCACCCACCACTCACCCACTCACTCACCCACTCACCCACTCACTCACCCACTCACTCACCCACTCACTCACCCACTCACCCACTCACTCACCCACTCACTCACTCACTCACCCACTCACTCACCTTCTCACTCACCTTCTCACTCACCTTCTCACTCACCCACTCACTCACTCACTCACCCACTCACTCACCTTCTCACTCACCTTCTCACTCACCTTCTCACTCACCTTCTCACTCACCCACTCACTCACTCACACACTCACTCACCCACCACTCACCTTGTCACTCACCCACTCACCCACTCACCACTCGCCTTCTCACTCACCACTCACCTTGTCACTCACCCACCCACTCACCCACCACTCACCTTGTCACTCACCCACTCACTCACCCACCACTGACCTTCTCACTCACCTTCTCACTCACCCACTCACTCACCCACTCACCACTCACCCACTCACTCACCACTCACCCACTCACTCACCTTCTCACTCACCTTCTCACTCACCACTCACCTTCTCACTCACCTTGTCACTCACCTTCTCACTCACCTTCTCACCACTCACCTTCTCACCACTCACCTTCTCACTCACCTTCTCACTCACCACTCACCTCACCTTCTCACTCACCTTCTCACTCACCCACTCACCTTCTCACTCACCACTCACCTTGTCACTCACCTTCTCACCTTCTCACTCACCACTCACCTTCTCACTCACCACTCACCTTCTCACTCACCTTGTCACTCACCTTCTCACCTTCTCACTCACCACTCACCTTCTCACTCACCTTCTCACTCACCCACTCATTCGCTCACACACTCACACACTCACCACTCACCTTGTCACTCACCCACTCACTCACTCACCCACCCACTCACCCACCACTCACCTTCTCACTCACCTTGTCACTCACCCTCTCACTCACCCACCACTCACCCACACACTCACTCACTCACCCACTCACCTTCTCACCACTCACCTTCTCACCACTCACCTCACTCACCTTCCCACTCACCCACTCACTCACCCACTCACTCACACACTCACACACTCACTCACTCACACACTCACTCTCTCACCCACCACTCACCTTCTCACTCACCTTCTCACTCACCCTCTCACTCATCTTCTCACTCACCTTCTCACTCACTCGCTCACTCACTCACTCACCTTCTCACTCACTCACTCACCTTCTCACTCACCCATTCACTCACCTTCTCACTCACCTTCTCACTCACCTTCTCACTCACACACTCACTCACTCACCACTCACCTTCTCACTCACCTTCTCACTCACCCACTCACCCACCCACTCACCCACACACTCACTCACACACTCACACACTCTCTCACCCACCACTCACCTTCTCACTCACCTTCTCACTTACCCGCTCACTCACCCACTCACTCACTCACCCACTCACTCACCTACTCACCCACTCACTCACTCACCCACTCACCCTCTCACTCACCCACTCACTCACTCACACACTCTCTCACCCACCACTCACCTTCTCACTCACCTTCTCACTCACCTTCTCACTCACCCGCTCACTCACCCACTCACTCACTCACACACTCACCTACTCACTCATTCACCCACTCACTCACCTACTCACTCACCTTCTCACTCACCCACTCACCCACTCACTCACCCACTCACTCACCCACTCACTCACTCACTCACCCACTCACCCTCTCACTCACCCACTCACCCACTCACTCACCCACCACTCACCTTCTCACCACTCACCTTGTCACTCACCACTCACCTTCTCACTCACCCACTCACTCACTCACCACTCACCTTCTCACTCACCCACTCACCCACTCACACACTCACTCACCCACTCACCCACTGCTCACCTTCTCACTCACCTTCTCACTCACCCACTCACTCACCCACTCACTCACTCACCCACTCACTCACCTACTCACTCACCTTCTCACTCACCCACTCACCCACTCACTCACCCACTCACTCACCCACTCACTCACTCACCCATTCACTCACTCACTCACTCACCCACTCACCCACTCACTCACCCACCCACTCACTCACCCACTCACTCACCCACTCACCCACTCACTCACCCACCCACTCACTCACCTACTCACTCACCACTCACCTACTCACTCACCCACTCACTCACCCACCCACTCACTCACTCACCCACTCACTCACTCACTCACCCACCCACCCACTCACCCACTCACTCACACGCTCACTCACCCACTCACCCACTCACTCACCCACACACTCACCCACTCACTCACCCACTCACTCACCCACCCACCAACCCACTCACCCACCCACTCACTCACCCACTCACTCACCCACTCACTCACCCACTCACTCACACACCCACTCACTCACCCACTCACCCACCCACTCACTCACCAACTCCCCTCCCAGAATCTCTTTGACAGCATCAGGAATGAGCCGTTCAAGATTCCGGAGGACGATGGAAACGACCTCACGTACACATTCTTCAACCCTGACCACGAGGGCTGGTTACTCAAGCTGGGTATTCATCACCACCACCATCACCACCATCACCATCACCACCATCACCACAACCATCACCATCACCACCATCACCATCATCACCACCACCACCACCACCATCACCACCATCACCACCACCACCACCATCACCACCACCATCACCACCACCATCACCACCATCACCACCACCATCACCACCATCACCACCACCATCACCACCACCATCACCACCACCACCATCATCATCACCACCATCACCACCACCATCATCACCACCATCACCACCACCATCACCACCACCATCACCACCATCACCACCATCACCACCACCATCACCACCACCACCACCATCACCACCACCACAACCATCACCACCACCATCATCACCACCACCACCACCACAACCACCACCACCATCACCACCACCACCATCACCACCACCATCACCACTATCACCACCATCACCACCACCATCATCACCACCACCATCACCACCACCACCACAACCACCACCATCACCACCACCACCATCACCACCACCACCATCATCACCACCACCATCACCACCACCATCACCACCACCACCACTATCACCACCACCATCACCACCATCACCACCACCATCACCACCACCACCACCATCACCACCACCACCATCACCACCACCACCATCACCACCACCACCATCACCACGTTCTTCAACCCTGACCACGAGGGCTGGTTACTCAAGCTGGGTATTCATCACCACCAGTGAGTGTCTGAGTGAGTGAGTGTCTGAGTGAGTGTCTGAGCGAGTGAGTGTCTGAGTGAGTGGCTGAGTGAGTGAGTGTCTGAGTGAGTGTCTGAGCGAGTGTCTGAGTGTCTGAGTGTCTGAGTGAGTGTCTGAGCGAGTGTCTGAGTGTCTGAGTGAGTGTCTGAGCGAGTGTCTGAGTGTCTGAGTGAGTGTGTGAGTGAGTGTCTGAGCGAGTGTCTGAGTGTCTGAGTGAGTGTCTGAGCGAGTGAGTGTCTGAGTGAGTGTCTGAGTGAGTGTCTGAGTGTCCGAGCGAGTGAGTGTCTGAGTGAGTGTCTGAGTGAGTGAGTGTCTGAGCGAGCGAGTGTCCGAGCGAGTGTCTGAGTGTCCGAGCGAGTGAGTGTCTGAGTGAGTGTCTGAGTGAGTGAGTGTCTGAGCGAGTGAGTGTCTGAGCGAGTGAGTGTCTGAGTGAGTGTCTGAGCGAGTGAGTGTCTGAGCGAGTGTCTGAGTGAGTGTCTGAGTGAGTGTCTGAGCGAGTGTCTGAGTGAGTGTCTGAGTGAGTGAGTGTCTGAGTGAGTGTCTGAGCGAGTGAGTGTCTGAGCGAGTGTCTGAGTGAGTGAGTGTCTGAGTGAGTGTCTGAGTGAGTGTCTGAGCGAGTGAGTGTCTGAGTGAGTGTCTGAGTGAGTGTCTGAGCGAGTGTCTGAGTGAGTGTCTGAGTGAGTGAGTGTCTGAGTGAGTGTCTGAGCGAGTGAGTGTCTGAGCGAGTGTCTGAGTGAGTGAGTGTCTGAGTGAGTGAGTGTCTGAGTGAGTGAGTGTCTGAGTGAGTGTCTGAGCGAGTGTCTGAGTGAGCGAGTGTCTGAGTGAGTGTGTGAGTGAGTGTCTGAGCGAGTGTCTGAGTGTCTGAGTGAGTGTCTGAGCGAGTGAGTGTCTGAGTGAGTGTCTGAGTGAGTGTCTGAGTGTCCGAGCGAGTGAGTGTCTGAGTGAGTGTCTGAGTGAGTGAGTGTCTGAGCGAGCGAGTGTCCGAGCGAGTGTCTGAGTGTCTGAGTGTCCGAGCGAGTGAGTGTCTGAGTGAGTGAGTGAGTGTCTGAGCGAGTGAGTGTCTGAGCGAGTGAGTGTCTGAGTGAGTGTCTGAGCGAGTGAGTGTCTGAGTGTCTGAGTGAGTGTCTGAGTGAGTGTCTGAGTGAGTGTCTGAGTGAGTGTCTGAGTGAGTGAGTGTCTGAGCGAGTGTCTGAGTGAGTGTCTGAGTGAGTGTCTGAGTGAGTGAGTGTCTGAGTGAGTGTCTGAGTGAGTGTCTGAGTGAGTGTCTGAGTGAGCGAGTGTCTGAGCGAGTGTCTGAGTGAGTGTCTGAGTGAGTGTCTGAGTGAGTGTCTGAGCGAGCGAGTGTCTGAGCGAGTGAGTGTCTGAGCGAGTGAGTGTCTGAGTGAGTGTCTGAGTGAGCGAGTGTCTGAGCGAGTGTCTGAGTGTCTGAGTGTCTGAACGAGTGTCTGAGTGAGTGTCTGAGTGAGTGTCTGAGCGAGTGAGTGTCTGAGCGAGTGTCTGAGTGTCTGAGTGAGTGTCTGAGCGAGTGTCTGAGTGAGTGTCTGAGCGAGTGTCTGAGCGAGTGTCTGAGCGAGTGTCTGAGTGTCTGAGTGAGTGTCTGAGCGAGTGAGTGGCTGAGTGAGTGTCTGAGTGACTGAGTGACTGTCTGAGTGAGTGTCTGAGTGAGTGAGTGTCTGAGTGAGTGAGTGTCTGAGTGAGCGAGTGTCTGAGTGAGTGTCTGAGTGAGTGTCTGAGTGAGTGTCTGAGCGAGTGTCTGAGCGAGTGAGTGGCTGAGTGAGTGTCTGAGTGACTGAGTGACTGTCTGAGTGAGTGTCTGAGTGAGTGAGTGTCTGAGTGAGTGAGTGTCTGAGCGAGTGAGTGTCTGAGCGAGTGTCTGAGTGAGTGTCTGAGCGAGTGTCTGAGTGAGTGTCTGAGCGAGTGTCTGAGTGTCTGAGTGAGTGTCTGAGTGAGTGTCTGAGCGAGTGAGTGTCTGAGCGAGTGTCTGAGTGTCTGAGTGAGTGTCTGAGCGAGCGAGTGTCTGAGCGAGCGAGTGTCTGAGTGTCTGAGTGAGTGTCTGAGCGAGTGAGTGTCTGAGTGAGTGAGTGTCTGAGCGAGTGTCTGTCTGAGCGAGTGTCTGAGTGTCTGAGTGAGTGTCTGAGCGAGTGAGTGTCTGAGTGAGTGTCTGAGTGTCTGAGCGAGTGAGTGTCTGAGCGAGTGTCTGAGTGTCTGTCTGAGCGAGTGTCTGAGTGTCTGAGTGAGTGTCTGAGCGAGTGAGTGTCTGAGTGAGTGTCTGAGTGAGAGAGTGTCTGAGTGTCTGAGTGAGTGTCTGAGCGAGTGAGTGTCTGAGTGTCTGAGTGAGTGTCTGAGTGAGTGAGTGTCTGAGTGAGCGAGTGTCTGAGTGAGCGAGTGTCTGAGCGAGTGAGTGTCTGAGCGAGTGAGTGTCTGAGTGAGTGTCTGAGTGAGTGAGTGTCTGAATGAGCGAGTGTCTGAGCGAGTGTCTGAGTGTCTGAGTGTCTGAACGAGTGTCTGAGTGAGTGTCTGAGTGAGTGTCTAAGCGAGTGTCTGAGTGAGTGTCTGAGCGAGTGAGTGTCTGAGTGAGTGTCTGAGTGAGTGTCTGAGCGAGCGAGTGTCTGAGTGAGTGTCTGAGTGAGTGTCTGAGTGAGTGTCCGAGTGAGTGTCTGAGTGAGTGTCTGAGTGAGTGAGTGTCTGAGCGAGTGAGTGTCTGAGTGAGTGTCTGAGTGAGTGAGTGTCTGAGTGAGTGTCTGAGTGAGTGTCTGAGCGAGTGTCTGAGTGAGTGTCTGAGCGAGTGTCTGAGTGAGTGTCTGAGTGAGTGTCTGAGTGAGTGTCTGAGTGTCTGAGTGAGTGTCTGAGTGAGTGTCTGAGCGAGTGTCTGAGTGAGTGTCTGAGTGTCTGAGTGAGTGTCCGAGCGAGTGGACAGCTCCGCCCTTGGCCCGGCGCCGCCTTGAGGCTGCTGTACGTGTGAGGGGCACCCTCTTCCGTGTTTGTACGCGAGGTGCAGGAGGCACTTGGAAGACGTGGAAACGTCGCTGGTTCATCCTCACCGACAACTGCCTCTACTACTTTGAGTACACGACGGTGAGACACGCTCACCCACTCGCTCATTCACCCACACGCTCACTCACTCACACGCTCACCCACACGCTCACCCACACGCTCATTCACTCACTCACCCACACGCTCACCCACTCGCTCATTCACTCACACACTCACACACTCACCCACACGCTCACTCACCCACTCGCTCACCCACACGCTCACCCACACGCTCATTCACTCACTCACCCACACGCTCACCCACTCGCTCATTCACTCACACACTCACACACTCACCCACACGCTCGCTCACCCACTCACTCACCCACTCACTCACTCACCCACTCACTCACTCACTCACCCACCCAACCACTCACCCACACACCTACTCACTCACTCACTCACCCACACGCTCACCCACACGCTCACCCACACGCTCACCCACTCACTCATTCACTCACTCACTCACTCACACGCTCACCCACACGCTCACCCACACGCTCACCCACTCATTCACTCACTCACCCACACGCTCACCCACACGCTCACCCACACGCTCACACACACGCTCACACACACGCTCACCCACACGCTCACCCACACGCTCACCCACACGCTCACCCACATGCTCACCCACACGCTCACTCACACGCTCACCCACACGCTCACCCACTCACTCACCCACACGCTCACCCACACGCTCACCCGCACGCTCACCCGCACGCTCACTCACCCACACGCTCACCCACACGCTCACCCACACGCTCACACACACGCTCACCCACACGCTCACCCACACGCTCACCCACACGCTCATTCACTCACTCACTCACTCACCCACACGCTCACACGCTCACCCACACGCTCACCCACACGCTCACCCACACGCTCACTCACTCACTCACCCACTCACTCACTCACCCACTCACTCACCCACCCACTCACTCACTCACTCACCCACCCACTCACCCACTCACCCACTCACTCACTCACCCACTCACCCACTCACTCACCCACTCACTCATCCACTCACTCACTCAGACACTCACTCAGACACTCACTCAAACACTCACTCACTCACCCACTCACCCACTCACTCACCCACTCACTCATCCACTCACTCACTCAGACACTCACTCAGACACTCACTCAAACACTCACTCACTCACCCACTCACTCACCCACTCACTCACTCACTCACCCACTCACCCACTCACCCACTCACCCACACACTCACTCACCCACTCACCCACTCACTCACTCACTCACCCACTCACTCACTCACCCACTCACCCACTCACTCACTCACCCACTCACTCACTCACCCACTCACTCACTCATTCACCCACTCACTCACTCACCCACTCACCCACTCACTCACCAACTCACCCACTCACTCACTCACCCACTCACTCACCAACTCACCCACTCACTCACCCACTCACTCACTCAGACACTGCTGCCACTGCTGGAGCAAAGGGTGGTGCTGATGATGATGATGGTGCTGATGATGATGCTGGTGCTGATGATGATGGTGCTGATGATGATGCTGCTGCTGATGATGATGTTGCTGATGATGATGGTGATGATGATGCTGCTGCTGATGATGTTGCTGATGATGATGTTGCTGCTGCTGATGATAGTGCTGATGATGATGATGGTTCTGATGATGATGGTGCTGACGATGATGTTGCTGATGATGATGGTGCTGATCATGCTGATGATGATGCTGATGATGCTGAAGATGTTGTTGATGTTGTTGATGATAATGGTGCTGATGATGATAATGGTGCTGATAATGCTGATGATGTTGATGATGATGATGGTGCTGATGATGTTGATGTTGATGATGATGGTGCTGATGATGATGATGTTGTTGATGATGTTGTTGATGATGATGCTGATGATATTGATGATGCTGTTGATGATGTTGTTGATGATGATGCTGATGATGATGATGTTGTTGATGATGATGGTGCTGCTGATGCTGATGATGATGCTGATGATGATGGTGCTGCTGCTGATGATGCTGATGATGATGATGCTGATGATGCTGTTGATGATGTTGTTGATGTTGTTGATGATGATGGTGCTGCTGATGCTGATGATGATGATGTTGATGATGATGCTGATGATGATGTTGTTGATGATGACGATGCTGATGATGATGTTGATGATGATGCTGATGATGATGTTGTTGATGATGATGTTGTTGTTGATGATGATGTTGATGATGATGATGCTGATGATGATGTTGTTGATGATGATAATGCTGTTCATGATGATGATGCTGCTGATGATGATGATGCTGTTGATGATGATGATGTTGTTGATGCTGATGATGTTGATGATGCTGTTGATGGTGCTGCTGCTGCTGATGATGCTGATGATGATGATGCTGATGATGCTGTTGATGTTGTTGATGATGATGGTGCTGCTGATGCTGATGATGATGGTGCTGATGATGATGCTGATGATGATGTTGTTGATGATGTTGATGATGATGATGCTGCTGATGATGATGTTGATGATGATGATGATGATGCTGATGATGATGTTGTTGATGATGCTGCTGCTGATGTTGTTGATGATGACGATGCTGATGATGATGTTGATGATGATGCTGATGATGATGTTGTTGATGATGATGATGATGTTGTTGATGATGATGATGCTGTTGATGATGATGATGCTGCTGATGATGATGATGCTGTTGATGATGATGATGTTGTTGATGCTGATGATGTTGATGATGATGATGCTGCTGATGATGCTGATGATGATGATGCTGCTGCTGATGTTGTTGATGATGATGCTGTTGATGATGATGTTGATTATGATGATGCTGATGATGTTGATGATGCTGATGATGATGTTGTTGATGATGATGATGCTGTTGATGATGGTGATGCTGCTGATGATGATGCTGTTGATGATGATGATGTTGTTGATGATGATGCTGATGATGTTGATGATGATGCTGCTGATGATGTTGTTGATGATGATGCTGTTGATGTTGATGATGCTGTTGATGATGTTGTTGATGATGCTGATGATGATGATGCTGATGATGATGTTGTTGATGATGATGGTGCTGCTGATGCTGATGATGATGCTGATGATGATGATGGTGCTGCTGCTGATGATGCTGATGATGATGATGCTGATGATGCTGTTGATGATGTTGTTGATGTTGTTGATGATGATGGTGCTGCTGATGCTGATGATGTTGATGATGATGCTGATGATGATGTTGTTGATGCTGCTGCTGCTGATGTTGTTGATGATGACGATGCTGATGATGATGTTGATGATGATGCTGATGATGATGTTGTTGATGATGATGTTGTTGATGATGATGTTGATGATGATGATGCTGATGATGATGTTGTTGATGATGATAATGCTGTTCATGATGATGATGCTGCTGATGATGATGATGCTGTTGATGATGATGATGTTGATGATGCTGATGATGTTGATGATGCTGTTGATGGTGCTGCTGCTGCTGATGATGCTGATGATGATGATGCTGATGATGCTGTTGATGATGTTGTTGATGTTGTTGATGATGATGGTGCTGCTGATGCTGATGATGATGGTGCTGATGATGATGCTGATGATGATGTTGTTGATGATGTTGATGATGATGATGCTGCTGATGATGATGTTGATGATGATGATGATGCTGATGATGATGTTGTTGATGATGCTGCTGCTGATGTTGTTGATGATGACGATGCTGATGATGATGTTGATGATGATGCTGATGATGATGTTGTTGATGATGATGATGCTGATGATGATGTTGTTGATGATGATGATGCTGTTGATGATGATGATGCTGCTGATGATGATATGCTGTTGATGATGATGATGTTGTTGATGCTGATGATGTTGATGATGATGATGCTGCTGATGATGCTGATGATGATGATGCTGCTGCTGATGTTGTTGATGATGATGCTGTTGATGATGATGTTGATTATGATGATGCTGATGATGTTGATGATGCTGATGATGATGTTGTTGATGATGATGATGCTGTTGATGATGGTGATGCTGCTGATGATGATGCTGTTGATGATGATGATGTTGTTGATGATGATGCTGATGATGTTGATGATGATGCTGCTGATGATGTTGTTGATGATGATGCTGTTGATGATGATGTTGATGATGATGATACTGATGATGTTGTTGATGATGATGCTGCTGATGATGTTGTTGATGATGCTGTTGATGATGATGTTGTTGATGATGATGCTGATGATGATGTTGATGATGATGCTGCTGATGATGATGTTGTTGATGATGATGATGTTGATGATGATGATGACGCTGATGATGTTGTTGATGATGATGTTGTTGATGATGATGATGATGACGCTGATGATGTTGTTGATGATGATGATGCTGATGATGATGTTGATGATGCTGCTGATGATGTTGTTGATGATGATGTTGTTGATGATGATGACGCTGATGATGTTGTTGATGTTGTTGATGATGATGATGCGGATGTTGTTGATGATGATGCTGATGATGATGTTGATGATGATGATGATGCTGCTGATGATGTTGTTGATGATGATGCTGTTGATGATGTTGATTATGATGATGCTGATGATGTTGATGATGATGATGCTGCTGCTGATGTTGTTGATAATGATGCTGTTGATGATGTTGATTATGATGATGCTGATGTTGATGATGATGATGCTGCTGATGATGATGATGACGCTGATGATGTTGATGATGATGCTGATGATGA